ACCTAAACTGAAATCCATCTTTAACCTTGTGCTTTTTCATTGGGGGGGGGGGGGTTGGGAACCCAGAGGGACAAAGGATTCCCGCCTTATTTAAAAGATATATAAATGGGTGAAACAGAACAAAGAGGGGAGCCATCATGAGAAATCCCCTAGCTACCACCTGAGCTGGAACAAGAGCTGTACCAGAATTGTGCCCAGGCCTGGAAGGTGTCCAGTCTGAGGAAAAAACATACTGAAGCATCTCTGAGGGTGAGATTATCTGTATTCAGTTTGATTAGACATAGATTTGCGTGTTTTATTTAATTTTGCTTGGTGACTTACTTTCTGTTACTACTTGGAACCACTTAAATCCTACTTTCTGTATTTAATAAAATCATTTTTTACTTATTAATTAACCCAGAGTATGTATTAATAGCTGGGGGACAAACAGCTGTGCATCTCTCTCTATCAGTGTTATAGAGGGCAAACAATTTATAAGTTTACCTTATATAAGCTTTATGCAGGGTAAAATGGATTTATTTGGGTTTAGACCCCATTGGGAGTTGGGCATCTGAGTGTTAAAGACAAGAACACTTCTGTTAGCTGCTTTCAGCTAAGCCTACAGCTCTTAGGGGACGTGATTCAGACCTGGGTCTGGGTTTGCAGCAGGCTAGAGAGTCTGGCTCAAACCGGGCAGGGCACTGAAGTCCTAAGCATCAGATGGCAGCTCCCAAGTGGGGGTTCTGTGATCTAACCCGTCACAGCATCGCCCTGTGAGCCTGGGCCCAGGGCTCAACGGGAGCAGAAGAGGGGAAAGCTTCTAGTTCTCCAACGTCACAGAGGTCCCAGTGCAGTGTGCTCCACCAATGAAAGATGGACTGGAGAGTGGGGTTGAGGAGTCTCACTCCTAGTGGGAGTAATAATAAGGGGGAGGGTGACCATCCTGAAGCTGAAACTTGTGAATAAACTTGTTCAGGGAGCAGAGATCCAAAATGGGATGAAGACCACCCCCTTTTCTTTGGGATGAGGAAACGGGGAATAAAAACCACGGCCACAGTAGCGCCGCAGCACGGGTTCTATGGTGTTCTTTTAGAGGAAGGTGGTTGCTGCCTCACAGAGGAGATGGTCCTGGGAAGGGTCCGGAGGGTGGCCACTGAGCGGATGATGAGGAGGGAAGGAGAGGAATTCAATAAGGAAGCCTTGGTGGATGATGTCCAGCACCCAATGGTCAGAGGTGATCCTACCCCAGTTGTGAGCAAAGAGGGCAAGACAACCCCGATCCATGGTGTAGCCAGAGGGATGGAGGAGGGTTCACGGTTCTCAAGGAAAGAGTCAAAAGGGTTGCTTAGATGGATGGTGATGGAAGCAACAGAGGAAGAACATCGAGGTCGCTGGGAGCAAGGGCGATGCAGGTCAGGTGGCCATTGAGGGTACGGCTGGTAAGTGGCAAAAGGGCGAGGGCAGAAGGCGGGTCGGAGCCGGAGTAGAAATGCCCAGAGACTGGAGGGTGGCATGAGAGTCCTGGAGGGAGCAGAGGGACTCGTCCATCTTGTCACTAAATAGGTTATAATTGTCAAAGGGAAGGTCCTCAAGAGTTGTCTGACCTTCGTAGGGAAACCGCTAGACTGGAGCCAAGAGTAGCGACGGAGCACCACTCCAGATGCCAAGGAGCATGACGCAGTGTCGGTGGCATCAACGGCCGTTTGGAGAGATACGTTGGTCACCAGTTTTTCCTCATCCAACAGATGCTGAAATTCCTGCTGTTTTTCTGGAGGAAGGAAGTCCTGAAAGTCAGCCAGCTTAGAATAGGACAGTAAATCATACTTTGCGAGGACAGCCTGGTAGCTGGCAATGCGGAATTGTAGGCCCACGGACTAATATACCTTGCGGCCCAGCAAGTCCAGCTTTTTGGTAAAGCAGTCAGGACAGGTGGATTTAAAGTGTTGCTGATGGGTGCGCTCCATGGCCGTTTGGACTACCAGGAAGTTGGGTGGGTAAAGAGATAGTCTGTACCATTAGAGGGCACAAAGGAGCAGTGTTCTGCCCGCTTTGACATAGGAGGCTGGCATGCGCCCAACAGCCTGAGCTGGCTACAAGATGGTGTCATGGATGGGCAAGGCGGTATGGAAAGGCCCCAGAGGCTGGAGAATGTCCAGGAAGTGGTCCTGGGAATCACGAACATCCTTCACTGTAAAATTAAATGCAGCAGCTATGCGACAGAGCAAGCTCTGGTATTGGGTATGGTCGCTAGGCACCGAGAAGGTGGGTGGAATGCGGGCATCGTCCGGGGACGAAGAGGCACCTGTGAGGACTGAAGGTGTCAATGGCGCGGCTGGTGCTGATGGAGCAGGAGCATCCAGAGGTTCCTCGTGGAAGATGGCGGTATGGGCGACAGATAAACAGTGATGCAGGCAGTACATCCCCCGATCCTGGTAGGGGTCTCAAGCGGGCCAGTAGGGCCAGGCATAGGGATTGCCAGGCATCGGCGGTACCCATGGGTAGCGGAACCATGGGTCAGCCAAGGGACCACAAGTCTGTGGGTATGACCGGGGCCGAGAGTCAAGGCTCTAGGACCAGGCAGAAGAGAAGGCTGTGTCCGGGACAAAGGACCACTCTGATTCCGAAGAGGGGTCCAGTAGAGGAGGGGCCATCAGTGAAGGCGGAATTGGTGGCGCAAGACGAGGTCCGAGAGGATGGTCAACAACTAGAAGGAGCTCGTCTGTCACCATAGCCGGCGGCGAAGGATGGAACAGGAGGGGCTCATCCACTGGAGAGGAGAGTCTCGGAACAGGCAAGGGTCCAGAGCGCAGGGGAGAGACAACGAAAGGCAGCATGAGCTCATCTGATGGCATCAGGGGGTGATAAGCATGCCAGAGTGCGCAGGACTGGGTGGGACAGGCCAGAAGGTCCTGGCGGTGTTGACGGCACCGAGGGCAAAGGAGGATGCCCAGGTGCCGGAGCAGAAGACAGGGCCAGTGGCGTACAACAGCATTTGGAGCGGTGCTCCATATAAGCCTTCTTAGGAGCAGGAGCATCCACAACTGCACCCGACTTCTCGCCCAACCTAACATGGCTCGGGGAGGTAACACTGCGTTTAAAAGCTGTCCCCGCTGGGGAGCCGCTCTTATGCCCATGCTTCTTGTGCATCCAGTGGGGTTTCGGTGGGTGCGGCAGTGAAACGCTCACCACCAGTGTCGGGCACTGTTCCAGCAGATCTGGTGGAGCCGTGTCCAGTTATGCACGTGGGCACATTGCCTCCTCCATCAGATATTTGTGGAGGTAAAGTTCACGAGCTGCTTGAGTCCGGGCAACAAGAAACAGTACAAGGCAGTAAAGGCAACGAATGTGCTCGTCTGTCACTGAAAAAGAAACAAGGGCACAAGTCACAGTTCTTAAAGCCGGCTTGTTGGGGCATCATCCCCAGGCCAGGGAGAAAGAAACCCCTGAAGGGAAGAAGTCCAAGGAAAAACTAGCTAACTACTAAAAACTCAGGGACGACAACTATATACAGCAGAAACGAAGAGCAGTTCTCTTAGCGAGAAAGAGGGGTTCCGACTCTGGCCATGTGGCGGTAAGAGGGAGCTGGAGTGGCGTCGACCCGCACAGCCTCTTACAGCCTCAGACGTACCATGCAGTTGAGGCACAATGCACATGTGGGTCAACAGACACTATTGCAAACAGTTCCAGCTCCAGCGCACGGCACCCATGCGCACCTGCATTTGGAATCCAGATAGGGACCATCACTCAAAGAACAACCTTGACTTAAGCGTTAGTTCACATGAAATGGAGCTAATGAAGGACTAAGCCTCAAAGGTGGATGCACCATCCAGCACTTTTATGCTACTTAACAGCATCCTTTTTTTGGAAACTCAGCTTATTCAAAAGTACCATAAGTGTATGTGTTGTATTTGCCTTTTATTTTAAAGCTACAGAATCCAGGAGTGTGCTAGATGGTTTACAATTAAAATAAATAAATAAACACACACACACACAAAGCAGCAAGCAATGCCCCTTCATTAAAGTGCTTACAATCAAGATTCTGCCAAGACAGAGTAATACACAATAGAGAAGAAAGGATGAGAAAAACAAAGGCTACAGTAACAAGATCACACATTTAGTCAGTTTTGCTAATAGGCAAACCCAGTGTGTTACGTTAGGTTTTTTTTCTTTTTTAATTAGAAATATGTAGGTCAATCAAAAATTGCACAGCATTTTACAACCCACCACACAAGTTCTGCAGAGACAAAAAATTGATGTTATATCATCACTGCTGCAAAAAAAGTTTCAATTCATCTGCTATTGCTTCTGAGAAGGCACAGCCAAGGCGTTTTAGACTGATGGAGTCCTTGCCAATACTCAGCTATAAAAATGGCATTTTCCGAAGAACTGATTTTTTTTTTTTTTTTTACCCAGAACAGAATAAATAATGTTAATTAAGTACTTTCTGACAAAGACTATTGTATAACAGTAACATTGCAATGTCAATAGCCTGATTTGTCATGTTAAAAAACAAAACCAAAAATAGTTAGCAAAATGCTATTTGGTCATTGATATCCTAGAAACACTCATATGCTAAAAAATAAAAATATTTTTAAATTGACCATTACAAATGCATATCGTTCTTATTCTACTTGGTAGTTAATTTGAATAATTTCTTGTTATTAGGAAATTTGGCTATTTATTTTTGAGGTTTAGTTGTTCATTTATTCCTATGGAACAAAAGCCAACCAGAACAATTTATGGATTTTTATACACAAATAAATATTAATGGTCAGTCACTTAGCGTAGCATAGATAATTTTTAATAAACTAATGACTGTATATTTGGCTGCTGCATGTCAGAAGTTAATATATAGTAAAGCCAAGATTTTCACAAATGAATGACTAAAGTTAGGCTCTGAAGTTCTATGTGAAAAGCAAAGTTTGCTAATCCACACACTAGTAAACCGGCAGGTTCTCCATACTTCACAAAGATTTAATGGCCCACACTGTAATGATGTGTCTTAATACAAATATATATTTATTTTTATATAATTTAGCATTTATATTAATATACTACTAGCTGTGAAGTATTATCAAATTAAAACTAACTACAAGGAACAAACATCTTTTGTGCAATATTTTTAAAAAACACAATTGTGTTTAGCAAGTAAATGAACATTCAGTAATCCACAACGCATTTCCACTGTACTCTATTTTCATCAAGTACTACACTATGGAAGTGTCTTGGCATGATGATTTATTGGGCACAAAATAAAACTGACATTCCAGGGTTTGCTGCTAAATTCTTATTGGGAGGTGGGGGACGGGGTGGGGGGAAATGGGTTGTGTATATTATATATAAAGAGAGACAGAGGTTGGCATCTTGAAAAAAAAAATGACACAGGCACCCAACTTCCATTGGATCTCAATGTGATTGGGTGCCTAACTCCCTTTGGCAGATGTGACAATTCCATTCCCTAGGCTTTTATACCACACATCACTGAGGTATCTTCAGTGCCTACGCCATGCAGCATGTTTGATTAAACAGCAATTTAAATCTAATTTATCATGACAGAGACACACTTACTTGAGAGTACCTTTTAAAAAACAGCTTGGTCTTTTCATCTTCATGTATGACCAGCTTATACCATTGCACAGAGGGCACGTGATCACTTTTCAACTTCATACAATTATCTTCATCACTCAGCATTGCTGTAAAGAAAAATACACTTTAAATAAGAATCTTGTTGCTATGCATTCAAAAAGCTTCTGAAGGCATCCAATTACTATGAGCAATTAAAGTGGAAAGTTTCCTGGAATAGATCCTGGTTTTGTTTACCCTGTTGTCAATGGTGAATTGCAGTTTTAATTTCTCTATTGTTAAAAATTACTTCATCCCAATGGGTTGCAATGAATGAATGAATTCATCCCAATCAACTCTCAACTGTACTGCTAGGAAGCAATTCTAAAAATATACAAGTTTTACTATTTACAAAGCATAGATTTCATGTGAGTTTAAATCATAGGAGATACATTTTGAACTATATAAATTACATTATACAGAAGATATATAAAGCTATCACAAAGCACAATAACTGACTATAGTCTACATGTACTATATACACATTATATATAACATACAAGCCCTATGTCATCTATTCCAGCATTACATCACGTCTGACTGCAAACTACCCAAGGCAATGATTGTATCTCTAAATTCTATTCAGCATCACGTACATCTATGACAACATACAAGAAAGTAATAAAATATTTCAAGCAGGGAGCCCCTGTAGAGAGAGGGCAGGTGTGATGTATTAAATGACCTAGTTCCAAAAAGAATGTCTAACAGAGGGTAAACCGAAGAGTAGGTTTCAATGGATTTATAAGAAAGCAGGGTTATCTAAAATACAGATAAATATTTTACAAAAAAGAACAGGAGTACTTGTGGCACCTTAGAGACTAACAAATTTATTAGA